GGTGGACTTCGATACTCGTGTAGCTTACACAGTCAAGACGTCCAGCGTTCACTCGTAAACTACACTACCTTTTGAGGCTTCTTCGAGAACTAAAAGAAGCTGACGACGTCTCCGCTTTGGACGAGAGCGCTGGCGCGCGTGTACACAAAGGACGCTGTCGAACACGACAACAATGTTCTTGTTCGTGTACTCGGTGGCGTACACCTTCGACTTCTTCACCACCTTGTACAGCTCCTCCACAAAGTCCGCGTTGTCCTGCATTTTGATGCTGCCTCGCTTGTTGCGGTACGCTACTACGCCGTAAGCAGAGGAGACTGCGCACTGGATCTGCAGGTTGGGACCTTTTGAAGGCGGAAGCTTTTCGATCGCGCGTTTGCCCTTCTTCACCCTGCCACGCGACCGCTTCACGTAGAGATTGTACATGTAGTTAGTTTAAGATTGTAGAGATTGTACATGTATTTACGGCATCTACGCGATGCTCGGTAGCATTGAGAGTGGGGATTAAGACGCGCCACACGCATAAGCTTGGGCGGCTTCGAGCGCGCGGGAGTTCTTCGTCGGAATCTCGTCGGCAGCGACAACTTTGAATGTTGATTAGTCGACATTGAATGAGGAAAAAGGGTGGTACTGCTTATTTCGGGTACCTCGCTCCGGCAAAAAATGAACCAACATTAAAGCTGCCGACTTTAGATGTTGAATGAGCCAACTATGGGCGGGCAAAGGTGTAGTGCTTGCAGTGCGGTGCGCAGTCGGCTGAATCATGGCCACAAGCATGTCGATCTTGTCTTCAATAGCTTTTATTGATTTCTCAACGGTTTGTAGTCTCGTTTCGATTGACGAGGGGGGCGACGGAACATGAGTCGCTTTGTTACGTTTGCGTCGAGAAAATGTAGTAGGGCACCCTACATGAGCTTCGCGATCAGGGGCTAAGCTCTCGGCAAGTTAGGTGTCTTCATCAGTTGCTGCTTGATCTAAGAGATATCGCACCAGGGTTTCTGCTGACTCGTTTTGAGTCCACGCAGTCCACCACTTCACCATGCGAAGTGAGAATCGTCGTTCAGGCGACGCGGACATAAATCTGTGATGGGCGCGAGCGCGGCGGAATGAGGTGCTCGGTCGCACAAGGCTCAATGTAACGTTCTGTCACTTGAGACTGAGCACTTCATTAATCCGGCACATACCGTAGAAAGCAAAAGCGGAGACAGGAAAAAACCACAAACGACTTGCCTCCGTGAACCCGGGGGCGCTCTCCAAGTGGGAGTGGAGTACTCGGAGCATATTCAACGAAATTGGTGTCGCTTGGCGCTGCTTGAATTCACTGTTCTTGCGCTTCTGCAGTCCGCGCATAAACTGACGGACAAACGCATCCTTGGCTGGATTACCAAGTCCATACTTGTTACCTTGATCGTCTGTGAGTACCATCCACTTGTCAGGTCCTGCTGCGTCTCGACGTTCGTAACCTTCGTAGTAGTTTGCTACAGCTGCGCGAATCTTCTCTGCGGTTTGGCTGGAAACCGAAGCGGATGCAGAGACACTTTCCATGAAGGCGGCTAGTAGAGAAGGTAGCTCGTGATGTCGCGTAAGCGCTGTGTAACGGGCCTGGGGTGTCCGTTACTTGCTTACACGTAGTGATGAAGAAGCGTACAAGTCCAGTGATACTGAAACCAAGTACTTAGTCTGAAGGAAAATCAACTCTGTTTTTATTTAGGTCCAGGGCAGCTTGCCTGACCACTCAAATACACGTCAACTCCTTATTGGTTGATTATGGGTCTGGCTCCCCATATTTCAACCAATAAGGTGACGGCAGTTCAGCACACGCTACTCGTGTGCTGCTGCACCTACTTTTGTAATGCAAATCTACCTACTTATGTAATGGTGTGAACCACTACAAAGAACCTATAAAACTACCTACATATGTAACTTGGGAGGGCCCATTACACGCTGGGTCGGGATACTCATTGGCGATACAAAACTCATAGAGCTTCCTAAAATATGATGTATACACATTCCTTGTGTCCTGTTTAATCACGTGTGTTGCTGTGTCGATAACAGCTCTTGGAATGATGCGGGGTGTCCTGCCATAAATACGATAGACACTGGCTGGGTATATGCTTGTCGTCCAGCCAAAATAACAATGAGCTGCAGTACCAATCATTTAAAGATTCGTACTTTTAGTCTTGTTTAGTATTAAGTGTCTTGTTTAGTACTATGAGTCTAGTTTAGTACTTAGAGTCTTGTTGTTAGGGGGTAAATCCGATTGGTTAAAATTAAAACAAAAATTATTCCTTAATCTTCTTCACTATCCTTCTTCACTATCCGAATCAAAACCAAACACCTCCCGAAAGCGACGCTCATCCGTCAGATCCTTCTCCTTTCCCTTCATCTTGTTCTCACATATCTTGTCTTTCTCGATAAACCCCGCCATATATATCCCTTCAAACTCAGCTAAACTTGCACAATTCTTGCCTTCTTTGAAGCTGTCAATTTCATCTTGAATTGGAGCTATGAAATATGCGTTTTGGGCCTGTATCTCCTCACAACTGGTACGCCACTGCTTGACGCGCTCGGTATACGTCGTTCGTAAATAAGCAAGATATTTTGAAGGCGGACCCTCTCTCCAAAAATAGTATGGGCGTCCGCATCGAGCATTTGTGCCTTGTACTGACCGAATACTTTGCATTTTCTTGAAGCAAACTCGCAGCAGGCTCTCCTTGAAACTCTGGTGGCATCCAATGGCGCTTGTCAGGATGCAGAAGAAGGTAGGCCTTTCGAAACCACGCCTTTGACAGCAAATCGATTTCGTCCATCTAATAATAAAAGGCAGTCAGTGTGAGTGTTTAGCTGAAAGCTTACCGGAATATCTGTACCTGAGCAAAAATGTACTTAAACAGCGGTCCGTTTTGACTGAGCTTCTTAAGGGGTTGTTGTCTTAGCCCTTTCGGCTGTGACTTGTCAGGGGAGAAGCGCTGTGCTCCACCTCTCTAAGCTCCTGTCGGAGCGCTGGCATTATTAGATACAAATAGTAAGTACCACATTTGGGTATAAAATATAAGATACCCACGGTACCTTCGAGTTTCTGGAATAGTTGTGTAGCGCGGCGAGAACGCTGCTCGGAGACGCGCTTGGCGCGGTGCTCAACCCACGACCTCTTGCGAATATCAACCCTGGATTCACGCGCTTTTATCCCCTTGCACTTCTTCCCGTGCTTTGAGAAGCTCGTGCGAGATATCGATCTCTCACACTTCACGCATTCTTTTGTCGTGGCGCTGCCGTACGGCACCTTTGTCATTTTGTTTTGGAGTATTTGCAGAAATTGCGTCTAAGCTGGCCATTATTTTTTTAAATGTGATATTCGATGCTGATTGGTTAAAACTATTTTTGCATGGGTTGTTTTTGAGACTTAACGTGCGCCGAACGCTGGAGGAGGATCGAAGCTGATACAGAAGCCGACGAAGACGAGTTGCGTCAGTGAAAGAAGTACGCTTCATTGTCAATTTGGGTGCTTACGATGGAAATTCGAGGTATCTTCTTGTTGAATTTAATTATGCTGCGCATTTTGAAAATAAAATGTAGCACAAAATAGCTACAGCAATTCTGAGTTTTTGATTGGCTTACACATCATCTGATCAAATCTACTAACTTTAGATAGCTATTTTGTTCATGAAATAATTATTATTAATAGAGCTCATGCCATTAGGCTAGCAACCCAATTCACCACACCTTAGAGAGAGAAATCCTACCAGTACTATTGGTGGCTAGCTGGCATTCTTAAAACATTTAATAGTTCCCACTCGGGTCGATAAACCATAGTTATAATTGCTTCGCTGGTGGTGGGAATATTGATTAGCACATCTTGGGTTACTTATTAACTGTATATTCAAGATACTGGTGATTCACAGCAATAGCCTCTTGGCACAAACTTGCAGCACTTTACGACACAAAGTTACATCCATTCCACTCAGTTTTGCTCCATAAGGCTTCTTTAATACATTTCAGGTGTTCTTCTATTATAATCTAATTCAAATAGAAGGCCATTTATCATAATGTTTGTCTAAAGTAAAAAAAATAGCCCTCAGAATCTCAAACCTTTTTTTCCAGAGGGCTGATACAACATCAGTGCACAAGACTGGCAAAGACACACTGCCAATTTTATTGTATATGCAGCTAGAAGAACTTTGGTTAACGTTACCTTGAAATGGCAAAACTAGCATCAAATAAGTAAAGCATAAACGCCTCAAAAGCTCCAGCAAAGCTACACCCCGAGCGCTATCATGATGTCGGCGCCCCTTTCGCAGCATAAACGAAGAGGCAGCGGTCAGTAGCTTGCAAAATAGTACTTTGCTATTTTATCATTTCTTTCCTTCTCACATATGCAAGGCAGATAACGCTAAAAACGCGTATCTTCGCGACTGCGATTACTTGTAGGTCCGTCATTTTCAGAGCTGAAAATGACACCCTTCCTGCCACCCTGCCGGATGATGGTGACACCTCTGCGTCGACTTGCGCGGCAGCAGTCGTGCGACGTTGTTGCTCTCATTCTGGGCGCCTTGTGGCGCCATCTACATAACCGGAGTAGACACTTGGGCGTACATCAATTTACTTACCCTTACTTTGTAATTAATTGATGTACAAACCGAGAAGCTAGCTGCTATCGTATCTCACACAATACATAGTTTTTTTAGATAATCAGTGACATGAATGTAAGTTAAGCTAGAAAAGATAAATCCCAACAAAATTTGTCCTTAAAATGAGGACGAAATAGGATGCAAGATCGTCAAATTTCAAGTAATTTTGTCATTAAGACCTTGTCTATAAGGACAAAATTTGACCGCGGCAGCGGTCGGTGACATGGTTGCCTGCTATAGATGAAGCCTGCGACGCCAAACACGAATAAGAAACCAAGACGATTTAACACGGAGAGCACGAACGCGAGAATATCCGACGCGAAGAAGAAGGAGAACAATTTGAATCGTTGAACTAAAAGTAGTTCTAAAGAGAGAAACCTTGGCGCTCATCCATAACTTTAATTCCCTTTCAATCTTTCCCTCTCAAGCTCAAGTCGACCACTCCAAGAGCAACCCCTCTGCTAGCTAAGGTCACCCTTCAAGCACACGCCGACTCAAGCCGCGTCATCGGCTCTGCAAATGCTGGAAAATCAAAAGCCTTCAATTTCATTTTTGCGACCAATTACACGCCGTTACTTAAGCGTAACCACTTCGGGTTACGCCGGGCCCAATAACGAAGGTTTATGAAGGGCTAAATCAGATTTTTAATGGCTGATGCTACAGTCCATGCGTCGACTCCGGTTATTGTTCGTGTCATGCCCCAAGTAATGTCCATGTGTCGAAATAATTACTTACCACGTTTTTTAAATCCATAGTGAATTGAAGCTGTTAGACTTAAGCAGACGGAAGCCCTTGTAGATATGCAGAAGTCAGAAGGTCGACCTTAGCACGAGCATTAGAAGAATCGATATCAGTTTCAATGGAAATGAGATTGTATCGAGTTGTATTATGGCTTGCTACCGTGAAGCACGAAGTGAAGAATGTGGAAGCGTAACAGCGTTCGACCAATCGGAGTTATGTCCAGCGACACACTCTTGTCTACATATCGCCAAAAACCTCAACATTACGTAGAATCCGCAGTTGTATCCGTCTGTCTGGATCGGTGTGTTGACGGACACGACTTTGAAGTCATCGCTGAGTGTAGTAGTCAGATCCCACGACAGTCGGCCCAGTACGTTCTTGTACGTCTTCAGGTTCATTGAGTCATTGTACAGGACATTGTTCTTCTTGCCATCCACGATAATTGCACACCAATGCATGTTCCCAAAGTTTACAAGAATGAGCAGTACATCCGCTTCAGTGAGTAGTTCCTGGACCTTTGTCTTCGTTTTCTCGCTCATAAGTTTTTCTTCTTTGACGCAGAGCTTGCCGTGACCCCGACGACGCGAACGCCGGTACCCGTCATGTACAATCTTGCGCAAAACACCAAAATCAGCGCATCATTAGCCCATTGAGGCGGCTTGAGACGGTATAGCATTGCGTAGTGGTAATCGTTGCCGTCAATGGAGATGGTATCTTGGGGGTAGGCGCGTGCAATGTTGTCTGCCATGCTCTGAAGCGTCGATTGTTGTGCCGCTGGTATGGTGCTGGCTGCATCCCGTGCTAACCATTTGGTAAACGCCACTCCGTCTTCACACGAACGCTTCACGTTTGCTAAGTATGCCATGGCCTCGATCTGTTCGCGTGATAATGTTTCAATACCCGCGATGCAGACACAGTCGATCTCTGGGTTTTGGCAATTACTGCCCATGTTTTGTCCAGGTATTGTAGATATTTATTCGTCTTCCTGTGTATTTGACTCTGGGTGAATACATCAATAACGGGTTAACGTGTGGCGTAGGATACGATTTTAAATGGAGCGGTAGACAACAACAAATCACGAGAGGTGTTAATTATAGTTGGTTAAGTAGACCCATAAAGAAACGTTAAAAAACTTGGATCCTAAATGACGTTTAGCCATCATGTCGTTATCGCTAAACTATCAAACAAAAAGCACTACCGTCAACATCAACAATAGCAAGGCGTCTTGCGACACATTGCTTTAATCATAACTGACACAGAATCGAGTGTCTAATGACTAATTCAGAATCAGCACAAAATGAACGCTGCATGCAAAAAATATTTCAATTCGAATATTTTCTAGCTTTCATAGAGTTTGGTGTGAGAAGTGAGCAATTTTTAGCTACTTACAAGTTCAAACAGGCAGTACAAGCGGGTAAGAAGTGCAACCTGGACAGACCATTACTATCATGTGAGCTTAGAAATGGTCCGTGATATCGAGCACGACGCTAAAGTAAATATATGGTGTAATGTTTATATAAATGTTATTTGAAGTGCTGGTGGTTTTGGGTGGAAGATGAAGATATAGTGATAGCCAGCAATAAAAAAGAGATTGCAGCAAGAATCTTGATTCAAGATCATCAGAATTTATTTTTTAAATCAGGTAAGCATGATGCTGACCCAAAAATTATAAATTAAAAAAATCGATTTAGGTACACTTGGGATCAGCGTTTTCTTCATAGTTATCCCGCCGAACCGTAGCAGAGGAGGAAAGGCCAAAACAAGTAGAGCTAAATCTAAACTACCGCCGCGTAGCGGCGGCGCTCGGCTAGTCAGCTATTAATATGAACAAGGGCGTAGTAATCACACAGCTAAAAGTAGGTCTGGCGGTGTCATCCAATCTAGTCCAACGACGCCCGCACCAATCCACACTTGCGGAGCCGAGGCCACCTTGCTGTCATACCAGATAAAACTTGGCAATATTGCCCTTGACAGCCTCTGAGAACCCTCACGCTCACCGTCATTTACATTGGCAACTGTAACTATTCGGCGCTGGTGAAGCTGAAGCAGTATGCGAAGCAGGTGTCGGACGGACAAGGTATTAATTCGCATCGGGTCCTTCGAATGGGTAAGGAAGGACCTTCAGTGGGCAGCAGTGAGCAAAATATAAAATGAAGATGAGAGCGACCTTGGAGCAATAGCCATTGGACCAGTTTGAGTAATCCTACATTTGCAGCTCTTCACGCAGTGAAAATAACAAGAATCGAGTTGACCCCGGAGGATTTTTTGAATATTCTAGATGTTATATACATAATGCATCACACCATTCCGTTTCCACATCTTCAGTAGGATTCAAAAGCAGCTTCATGAATGGAATTGAAAAGCGACAGTGTTGCTATCGTCGCAATGACCTTAATGTTGATGATACTATGACTGATAGGACAGCAAGCTGTTGTCAACGATGTGTTGAAACATGTAAACTATCTCACTCTTTTAAGACGTCGAAGAGGTTCCCTATTGTCGAAATGATAGGTACCGTGATGATAGGAAGAAAGGATATTCATAGCAAATAGGTACCGGTACTACATAATGTAGAGCTTGATCGCGTTATGGCGGAAACGACAACAAGCTTCAGTACCAGTATGATGCTGCAGCAACATTCCCCTTGAATGAGCGATGACTGATATAATGAACGACTCGCTGTCAGCGATAGCATGCGCAGGTTTCGGAGACCTGTAGTGGGATCCGATTGAACACACTTGCGAGGGAAGCTGGCGCTTCCTTTGAACTCTTGCTTGTATTGTACTCTGCAAATCCAGAGAGATAGTTGAGACTCTCTCCAGCTACTCCTACATCATTGTCTAAGTATATGCCTCGAGTCTCCGACCTCTGAGTCTTACTCTACGCCAGCTCCTGCTGGGACCGTCCTCGGCCGCCAGCACAG